GGATGAGCTAGATATCATCTAAACTGTCCTGCTTAGTGAGGGAGGCACTAACCCTCTTGCCCCACCAATATTTGTCTGCATTTGGTACAGTAAGAGCCAGCTTTAATAGAAAAAACCAAAACCCCACATATTCAAGTTCTATAAAGGAAAAAAAAAAAGGTAGTGCTGGCTCACGATGATGGCCCCCTGTCAACCAGTGTCTTGGAATGTTGTTTCACAAATATTTAAAATACATAAAATATATCACTGGTAATATTAAACCACCTTTTAGACTGGATCTAACACTTTTATTTATTAAGGGTAAAATTAAGTAAATGAGTTTGCAGTTACTTAGTGAACAGAGCACAGTGATTGTGTCAAGATGTGAAAGAACCAAGAAAGGACCTCAAAGCTCTGCTTGAGGTAACAGATTGACTTCATAACATAAAGCCTTTGCTAGAACAGATTCTTTAGCTCCCATTTCTGCATTTTATCAAAGACAAGATGGAAATAGAAAACATTCAAAGATTGTGACTTACAATCCTTGTAAATCAAAAGAACAAATGTCAACAGTAGCAAAATAGAACTTAATCTGGGAACAGAAAATAAATATTAAAGCAGAAAGTGAAAGTATCCTGTTGGCAGGGTAATAAATTGCTCTATATTTACTTATAACCTTAATATCAAGGTATAAATGTACTATTAATAGATACGGATCAAGTTTAATAATTAATCATTAGCAACTTTTCCTATTGATCTCTTACTATGGTAATTGGTACACAATACCTCCATTGCTAACTAATTAGATTTCTAACAGCTTTGGAGAGCTGCTTTAAATTGGGTTTGCTCCATAGCATCAAAGAACCATGGACAAACTGAGTTAAAGTTAGCTTTTGGGTGATTCTTAGACAATAAAAAGAAAGATGCTTTATAAAACACATCATAGTCCTAGCACACTTTTACTGTCAAAGCATTTTGCCTGCAGCAAGCAACACTGTTCTTGAAGTGAAGCTGCATCTGTACAGACTTCAAATGAACACAGAGCTGAAAAGTAGAGAGCTCTGACTCCAATAAAAAGGAATGACTGTTTTGGCTCCATAATATATTTTCCAGCCCTAGCTTTAATCTAAATCAAATGCCCATCTTTCTTGCTGTTCATGCCATGCAACCGCAGCACATGCTTAAGTATAGGAAAATTGCAAGTGCCTAACACCATCAAATTGTACTTCCATCTAGTCTGGAATCTACATCAGGCAGAGGATAATAACTTCTGTTTAAAGAGGCAGAAACTATTCTCCATCACTAATTAATTCAGAAACTGTTCCACAGGCCTAGCCAAACAGCTGCCGGGCATGGAGGTCTGGACAATCAAACAGGTATTTTCTGTTTCTAAACTTCCTCCCAAGCAGTACAGCAATGTCAGAGACTCTTTACAATGCTCTGCTAGCAGGTCTGGCATCTATAAGGTACAGGAACTACTGGCAAAGTATTAGCATAGCAACACATCTCGTGGGAGTCTCTCTGCCATTAGAATCTTGCCAGAAATTAGCCCTCCAAGGCAGAACTCAATGCTATACAGACCCCACCAAATCCCAGCAAAAGCCATAAATTTTTTTTTTTTGTCTAGCTGTCCATTGAATGGACATTCCTAAAATGGGGAATTCGATTTTAAAGTCATGTCTCTTCAGGAACTCCTGAAATAGCAAATGTGCAGGGCAGTTCTGAGCTGCTCAAAGAGAGGCCTTGATTTCAATGGTTCCATCACTTTAATGCTGCATCCCTGATGTGCCCCTACTTTTCTCCTTGGTGTTCTCACCGCATGAGACAGGCTTCTGTGGAGCTCATGGGATTTGCATAAGCTGTGTATGTGCAAACCACTGATGGGCACTGTCATCACTGTCTTAGTGTGGTGTCTGACTCTGAAAAGGGGCAAAAGTCAATCAAAAGCTAGTTAATTCAAATGAAAATCAGCTTCTGGTGTTTAATACACTCTGTTATATTTTGTTTGTCATTATCTCTCCAGACCAGTGACTCAGCCCTATAAAACCTTCACCTTGATGACAGTGTTGGCACATGACAGCAGCCATTCAGCTGCCATGGACACCTATTTATGTCTTCTCTCCTCATTTTGAAACAGCCCAGCAAGATAAATGAACCTCAGATTGCTAAATGCCATAAAGGTTTACACAAAATAATAGAAACTCTGCCTTTTAGCCTCAAACAAATGACTTAGCAAGTTCTCCAGGTGAATTTCAAAACGGAACTGGCTTCAGCAAAACCTTCAGAAATGACCAGTGCCATGTTGTTTCCATGCAGCTCTGCCTGGCTCAGATGGGCCTGAGTGTCTGTCACACAGCAAGTACTGCCTGTAGCAGAGTCTCTTTGGTATGCCTTTAGCTCCAAACTTCTGCAGACAGGTAAGGCCTGCAGTGGGCAGTTTTTAATATTTAAACACATGTCACAGAAAACTGTGACATGCCTGATGCTGTGAGGAACATCCTGAAGGCCTAGATACCACTCTGAAGTATTTCCATTATCCAACCAGTGTAAAAAAGCCAGATTAAATGCCAAGCTGTTGCAATGGGAGCCAACCTGAAATCCAGTCACTTCTTCCCATTCACTTAAATGGGAACCTTTTCAATGACCTCAGTGTGCCCTGGGGGACGAAAATGGTCATTAAAAGATAATTTCTGTGGTGGTTTTGACTAACAAGAGCAGATGGAAAACAGTCAAGTTCCCAATACCCATAGACTGCTATACAGATTAGACCATTAATTAATGACTAAATTGTACCTCACCACTCAGATTGTTCCCATGGCATTGAAAAGAGCAAGGTACTGCTTATGTGAAAAAAGGTATCTATAACAAAATGAAACTCTGCAAATGTTCGGGGGGGGGGAGGGGGGGGAAGGAAGCCTAAAATTGGAGGAAAACCAGTAATTTGTTTGTAAATATATCATGTTACTTGGAATAATAAACAAGTTCTTGTTAAGAATTCCATAGCTCATTTCAAAATGCAAAATGTCTCAGTTTAACTTAGTAAAAGTACATTTTAACTCTCTCATTCATTTCTTTTCTTTTGGGTTAGGTGATACAACTCTCATCTGCAACTTGACAGGATGTAAAAAATAATTACAAATGAAAAGGTTATTCATAATTTTTAAATGAGTTAATTAGTAAACCCCGCCAGAATCACTCATTACAGTAATTAATAATTGATTATACTTGAAATTAAACACAATTTTTCATCAAAATCTAATTAAATATCTGCCTTTTTTCTTGTTGATCAGAACACTAGGTCTGGTAGAGACAATCTTTGCTAAATATGTTTATGCTGAACTGAACCATTGGAATTGATTTTTAATAATTGGTAGTTCCCTTAGAAATTAGTAATTATGACCCATAATTACAGTGGTTCAACCTGCTCAGCATTTCTGGCACCTTGCCAGTGATCTGTGGTGTCTGGCAAATGCCAGCAAATTCACCTGAATGCAGAGGATAAAAAGGATGGGAGGGCACTCAATGGACCTTCCTTTTAACAACATTAACTGTGGTTTGAAGCAGGAATGTGGTCTTTTGTGAACTCTGAGACAGGGTTCGGAGTTGGAGAGCAGCAAATGAAACTCCTCTCCCTCTGTCAACCAGCACACACCTCCTCCTCCTCCTGGCACTGCTGTGCTGAGCTGAAATGACTGTCCTCTGACACACTGAGATTATGTCCAGAGGAACCATGTTCAGGAGAAGTATAAGGAGAATACCAGACAAATGAGAAAGGTGACTCCAAATGTACACAGCAAATGATGAAAACTGACTGCATATTTCATCAAACTGCTGCTGATTTAATGCTGGTTAATTAATCATTCCTGTTCCTCTTACAGGAGACATAAAAGTGACCAGAATATGATGCAAGGCAGAAGTGGAAAAGTATCAGTCATAAAAGGAGTGTATATAAAAGGAACACAGTAAAAGCAATCCTTTGTGGTGGTGCTAATCATATTCATGTAAAATGAAAGCAAAATCTTTCGATCCAGACTAAGATTTGTAATTCTAACCACAACCTTTTATAGATCATTAGTGTACAGGAAGTCACAGCAAAATCAAAAAGACTCATTTGTGCCATGAGAGATGGGCTTTTTTACCCATGATCACATCTAAAAGTGTCTGACAACTGGAGTTTACACCACAGACAGTTTAACATAGAAGTGTAGGAATGGACTTTTTAAAGACATTTTTAACTCATATATCAAACAGAACTGAAGAAAAAGTAATGGTAACATTCCAACTTTACAGGCTTAAAAATACAATTTTAACTTCTAGCAGTTCAATTACTTTTGCAACATACAATAAGAATGCTTTTTTGCAATGAACACTGACAAGCCGCATAAAACAAAGAAATTCAGATCATGCACAGTTAAAGAAAAATCCACTGCTTTTCCACCCAAGATGCAAATTTCACCAGCACCAGCTACTCTAAAAAAGCCCTGATGAACCACAATCTCAACCCAGTCCTTCTCCATCCTCCTAGCCACCCTGTGAACTCCAATATAACTAGTTAAATGTCACTGAAATGGGTGTGTCAGCAAATGATAGAATGAAACCACATTTTTGTGTACCAGGATCTTGTTTCTGATCCTGTCCCATCAAAGTCAACATTGATGGACCTGGATGTCGCTGGGACTGGGACATGGACTTCACCACCTGTTTTAATGGGATGCTTAGAGAAAACCTGGTGGCTTTGCCTCACTCCAGGTACACTTTCCTCTGCAGGATGTAAACAGTCCATGATATTGAAGGGAGTACAACTCCCTCATGTGACTCATGTTTTACTAAGCCCTTCTGGCTTTATGACAGGTGTTAAGCTCCCTACCACAACACTGCAACACAAACAAATCAACAGATGCCTTATTTCCCCATCACTTCGTACCACAGTCTTGACCCTCTGTTTCCTAAACATTAGTAGTACGGGAGGGTTTGCAGAAAAATGAAATAAAAGAAAGAAAAATAAACAGCAACAAGCTTACCTATGAAATAGGCCAGCAGGATCACCAGCGTGACTGAGATGACAATGGCACTCAGAGCAGCACATTTCCAGTTACAGTACTTATAGGGTTTCTTCAGATTAAAGGCAGGCCTAGAAAAGGTACTTCTGGGAAGGGGCCTAGGGGGAGGCGAGTACACAGTGCTGGACGTCAGGGGATATCCTGGCGACGTTGTACAAAAAAGGGGAGAAGTGCCTCCAGGTTTGAACAGGAAGTGCCTGAGGGAAGAAAGACCAACAGCAAGTGACTCCTCACACAAATCGATGCTGAGGGAGGCGTGAGGTGGGAGAATGGCGACTGCTGCCAGGACGAGGAAAGCAGCTCCACACAATGCTGGCTACGGACATGGACGGCATGCACAAAAGAGAAGAATAAAAATCAAAGGCAAGTCACAAAGAGTAAAAGAAAACAAAACCAAACAAAAAAATCACAGTGCCAACAATGCCACAGAGAACTCTTCAAGGGCAGGAGTCCCCTCTGTGGAAGAGCTGGCGTTAGAGTGAGATGAAAACCCCAAGCACAGCTACGACAGACTAGTGGCACGGGCAGAACTGGGAGCCTGCTCGCACTCCCACAGGAGTACCCTACGGAGGCTGAAGAGGAGCGGAGGTCAGATTAAAGAAGGGAGGGTGTTTATCAATTTATTGATCACTGCATGAGAGCGTTTTTTGTGTGTCATCGGTGAATGGAGATGGGGAAAAAGAGCTTAAGCCATTCCATAGCACCCAAATTGTCACAGAGGGGAATATTCACACTGTCCCCATCCAGCAAATTTAAGTGTCAGACAAAGGCGTGGCTAAAAGTATCAAAGCCCTGTGTATTGCCAGTGGGGAGAGGCACCTGCTTCCATAAAGCAGTCCAGAGCACCTTGGATTGAAGGCTACTTTTAAAAAAGTGTGAATTACTGTCAAAGGCAACAGCATTTCCTGTCCAGTGACACATTGGGAGGCACCATATTTTGCCCATTATGACAAACGCAGCCTGAGAGCCAGCCCACGAGCACCTTGGGTGACACTCATGGAAGTCAGCATGAAAAGAACACACTGAAGCCCATGAGTTCCTGAAATGAAATGTCCCAATGGAACTTCTCCTCCATGGGAATATTAAATGAAAAACCTGATTTTGGTGGGACATCATGCTGTAAAAGGCATTTAAATTCTGGGAATGAAACCTGGGAAATGGAGTGGACTAATCTACCACCATGCTTCTGTAAAACAAAAATGCATCTTGTGAGGACTGAGAAACAGCCCCAACGCCCTTTGCACATTCTGCCATGGCTTATGGAGCCAGATTTGCAGCCAGAGTAAATGCAATCAACATGGATTCATGGGAATCAGTCAGTAATTAATACCAGATGAAGAGGTGACTCGATTTTCCCCATGAAGTTACTTGTGCAGTCACAGGGGGAAACTTCACATGCAGAAACATCACAGGGAAGAAAAGCCACCAATTCATGCAGGAAAATGTAACATATAAGTATCCAAAATAGGTGTCTGTAATAATACAGCCATGGTTCTATATTGATACTCTAAGCATGACTGCTCAGCATTAGAGAAAGATTTTTTATTTCTACTAATGCTCAAAAAAAAAAAAAAATTTACAATAAGTCAGATACTATCCTGTTTTGGAAAAGTATTTATTTAGATAGAGATGTATCTGTTCTGAGAGAAGAGGTACCTGCAGTGTTCAAGCACACCAATAAGCTCTTGTGTGAATGATGGTTACCAAATTATGAGCTGCCAACGCAGGATTCAACAGTTTTGGCACCAACTATCAAGTTAGAAGTCATTTATAATTTAAAATTTACATGATCAAAATTTGTGTAAAGATTCCAGAATGGGTGGTTAAAGTCAGACTCCAAGGCTTGGCTTACAAACACCACTAGCAGACACTTGTCAGATAATGTATGTGGAAGACATCAGTTTAACAGTGAAGTATCATGCTGTCAGCACAATAAAGGTTTCAGATTTTTATGAAAATTAAATTAATTTTAGTTAATATGGGAGTTGAAATTACTGTAGGTACTTCTTAGAAATCATATGACTTTAAAAACAATAAGAGGATAAAAAGCAAGTGGCATGCAGTGGTTCACTAGCATATTAATGAGTTTTCCATTAATATGTACAGGACACAATGCCCCAGAAATTAATTTTTGAAAGCCATATTGGAAGAGGTCAGCAATGGTGTTGCCCTTAAACATCACTGATATGACCAAATGCTTTCATGCAAAGATCATAATGACTGTACAGTAAACAGGAAGACCACGTAAGTGTCACATACCCATCATTGTAAGCACCGTCATGTCGGGAGGAGGTGAGAATGTCCATCTCAATGAGGTTGTCCTGCAATGTCTCTAGGAATGTCTGCTTTGCTATGTTTCTACATACATATGGAAACATGAATGAAGCCAGTGAGTCATGCATATATGAAGTGTGATCTTATAAACCCCAATGGTTATAGTGCAGTTGTGCATGGAATTAGAATGATGGACCATATATTTATATGTATAAAATGCTACACATATACATATATAGCTTTTAAAAATGTTCACTTCTTTATATATACACTATATATATGCATATACACACATACAAGCACACACACCCATGTGCATGGATCAAAAAAGGGGATGTCTTTGTTCATTGCACATTATTTATTGCCAGTGACACATGAAACCTTCCAAACTCCTGGATCCAAAGAAACAGATTTCAATTCAGCCCAGCTATAATCTGGTTATACTCCTGCACCTGTGTTACTGTAACTCTGAAAAGACACAGTACAGTATCTGTATCCCACTGTGGCCAGCACCTTGGTAGCACTCTTGCATCTAACTTTGTAATGGATGTCCAGCAAAAATCTGCCACTCCTTTGCTTTAGTTTCAGTTTTGGATTTGAGAACTTTTTTGTTTTCAATTTGATTCTTTTCCTTTGTGGAATAATAACTAAATATATAGAGTAAAAATTAAATTTTCCAAATGTAAATATTGCTCAAGATGAGTATTCCAAATCAAAGTCTCTTGATGATAAGCAGATGTTAGATAGAAACAGGTTAAGCTGTAACCCAAATTCCAACACCAGAGTATTGGCTATAATTTGGATAATACAGGCAACAAGCAAAATACTTAGGGCCTGCACATGCAAATGCTTGGGACTGACACTGCACACAGCAGCGATATTTTGCAGTATTTGTCCTCCTGGCATGTTCTTTTATGAGTCACATTCTGACCTACAAATTCTAAACTGTTCTGTACTTTTTGAAGAGAATAGTAGGAACATTAAGAATTAACACAGAGGCACAGCTGGGAACAAACTGTGTCTTTCTCACCTTTGGGCTTGTTTCGCAAGACCTGGCAAAAGAACATTCTCCCCATGTTTTTTAAAACAAAATACAGTCCTGATTTTGCCCATGTCTGTTTTCAGCATCAAAACTGAATCTAAGCCTGATTGTGAATAAATCCCATGGCAAAAAAAAAGTAACAGCATTGTGACATTCTATCACTTATGCAGGATTAAGAGCCTAGAGGGTCTAAGTGACATGAACTCAAACAAGAATTCCTGCGAAAGAAACTGGATTCAGGTAACATGCTAAACCAAGAGAAACCACATTATACAAACCTTGATACTGTTTCTTCTAAAATATTCTCAAACCTAAGTTTCATTTCTACTTTCTCCTCTTCTCGCTGCTAATGCCAGCACTTGTTTAGCTCAACTCTTTGCTTTTGGAGGCCTTTGGGCTGCTTTGACAAAACAGATCTACTCCTTGGTCTGAATGAAAGTGAAGTAACTCCTATTCATAGTTTTGGAATAAAGTGGATCAACATGCATGAGCTGTGTGCCATAGCACTTGAGACATCAATCCATTCCCAAGTGTTTGTGGCTTCCTCACATTCCCTAGGAATGCAGGAAAGACTGGATGCTGAGTTCAATGCAAAAAGAAGCAGCGTATGTGCATGCACTGAGCATTTAATGGGTAAGAGGCAAGGCACCTAGCAACACACCAATCAATAACAGTTCATCCTTAGTAAAAATCCATGTCAAATTGGTTCCATGAATTTCAGTTGTGGATTGTCAACAGAACAGAAGAGGGGAGGGTTACACAATCTCATAATGTATGCATTTGTAGCAGACAGGTCGCTTGGTCACCTGAGGGACTGATGCACGACTGTCTTCCTCATGGAAGGCTCATGAAGTCTGCTCCCTTGGAGATTACCTGTAAATCGCTGGCTAGTTACAAAACACCCTCTCCTAGCCAGTAGTGGTGGCAGAAATCTGACCTTACATGATTACCACATGGAATTTCCTGGGAATGGAAGTCTCCTGAAAAACTGCTGGTTTGTCAACCAAATGTCCATCTAGTTGGCATTTGTTTGCTCCCACAAGGTCTCATATAAAGGAACAGAAAGGAGGCCACAGAAGGAAGAAGACTGAGGAATAAATATGGGGGGAACTTACCTGTCAGGAGTGACTGTTGAGCAAAGATCTTCTCATCACAACCTTGAAAATATATGGCTTTTAAAGCAACAAAAGAGGGAGCAGACAGGAAAAGAAAGGGGAGAAAGGAGAAACAGAGAAAAGGGAGTAAAGGGAAACTAATGAAAAGGAGGGAGAGAAGAGGAGGGGCTCTTCCTCTTGCAACATACAAAATTCTCAGATATGCTTATCCTGTCAGTTGTATATTTGTGCTGCACATCTCTGCTTGCCACTGCATTATAGTTTAGAAATTTCCAGGCAGTGACAAACCAGTCTGAATTCCCAGTTCTTAAAACTGTCTGGAGTCCATGGCAGCCAAAATCAAGCCACTTCAAACTCTGCAGGCATGTTCCACAGCCTGTGACAATCCTTGTTTAAAAGATGCAGCTTTTTTCTTCTTGTGTTCTCTCTCTGTTGACTAATATGGGATTTAAAAAAACCCAACAGAAATACAATTCCATTTTTGACATGAGATTACTATAATCTCCTAACTTAAAAAGCCTTTATTCTTAGATTAATGTCTCTTGGCCAGGATTTATATTTCTACATATTGGACATTTTATTCTCTTAGGTGATGGTCTTTTTATTTGGTTCTAAAAATCTTTGCAGTAGAGAAGATGGGGAAGATTAATCTCATGGAAGAGGCTGAATTGGGCATCCAAGTTTGCTAAACAGCTCTGAAGCCTGGTCTTTTATGTCTACACAATTCCCACTAAAGGAAATGGAAGACCTCTGCATGCCAGAAGAGCTGACTGTCAGAGTAGAATTTAGTCATAGATATACTGATCATCTATGCAGCTCAGCCTCCTCTTTATGACACCATTATAACACATTTTATTGTCTTGATGTTGTATAAGTGAAGGAACAGTCAGCAGTGTTCATTTGCTGTTGGCAAATTTTGTGCTGTTGGCACAAAATTACATATTTTCCAACATGCTCATTGTCAAAAAGAAACACTGGGTGAAATGACACCATTTCAACCAGTGTGTCAAAAGCCTCACCATCAGTCTTGAAACGACCTGTTTTCCACCAAATTAATAAAATGGTTAGACCGAGGACCAAGTACAAATGTGACTGATCTGTGATGCTAGAGTGAAATCATCAAATGATGCAGAAAGAGCTCTTCATGCAGGTAGACCTCCAACTGCCAATCTGATTAACAGCAATAATGTGACCAATCCAACACCTGCAACAAGAGCACTCTGCTTCAGATCTTGAAAAATTTTCATCCACAATGATTTCATAGAAGAAACGAGGACAGCCTTTAAGGTTTTGCACTACTAAAACAGTGTATTATGTTTTCTATAAAGAATTCACCACCTGACTAGGAAAAGGCACAGGACTTCCTTCAGAATTACAGAGGATTATTACAAAAGAGTTGCAGAAGTAGGGTCTAAGTATTTTTTAATGCAATTTTAATAAGAATTATCACGTAAAACTCAATGCTTTGGTATTTGTGCTTGATAATTAACACAATATAATTACTAAAACTGTTGCCAAATCACACTTGCATTATTTGCTTATAATTTTGTCTTAATCTTTTGGATCCAGTTCTTAGTTGAGTCCTTTTAATCAAGCAGTCACAGAAAAATTAATTATCTTTAAATGTCACAAAATGTGATATTGAGGTTGTTTTAGAAGTTTCAGAGGGCCAGCAGATATAGCTCATTCTCAAAAAGATTGACAGATGTGCTCATTTTTAAAAAAACATTCTCTTAGCAGAAGTTTGCAAAACTGGGTACAATTTGTCCCATGATACAGCTACAATTATTGCTGCCTCTCAGTGAGAGTCGCACCAGCAGTGATGTGACAAATTTGGGCCTTGTCTCAGTTTTCAGTTATTGTATGATTTTTGCCATCTGAAATCTTGCTGGTTTGAGAAAGTTAGACAAAGACAGTTGAGTAAGTGCACCATGTTTTAGGCTTGGAAAACTCCTTTACAGACTGAAAAAGACAGCATGTATGGGAGCTAATGACTCCAGCATTCCCAGTGGCTGCTTGGTAGCAAAGGAAATAGTGAAGCAAAACCTCTGGAGAAAGCAAGTGGGACTGCAAGTAGATGCACGCACCATCAGATAGGAGGACTGAGGCTGACGGGACTATGAGAGCTCTCTTTTCCAGAACCTACACAGAATCTGAACAAAGCCATGGACTACAACAACTTGGCACACCCTTGTCACACCCTTCAGGTGTTGCATAGGTGGAAAAGATTTTGAGAGCTAAATGGCAACACTGTTAAATGACTGAAGGTAGGCTATCCAGTGTTTTATGCTTGCTAGAGCAATGTTGAAAAGGGCAGCAGCTGACCTCTCTTCATTAGGTGAAACAAGATCAACCTTTCCTGAATTACGTACTATGAAAGTACTGCTTGATGAGGCACAGCTACAAGGCTAAATCTTTTCAATATACTGACTGATTTCAGTTTTTTAAATAGGTTATTGATTTATCCTACCACATAGGAAGAAAAGACATTAAAAGAGAATAAAAGAAAGAAAATCGAGGACATTTTAATCTATGATCCCGATTCCAATTATAAATGAGGAAAATAACCTTATAAACAGGTGGTAAAGACAACATTTTTAGTTTATGAAAGAAGAGCAATTTCCTCTTCTCCTGGTCCAAATAAAAAGACACAAGGAATAATAAATACAATGCAAAATGCATAAGTCAAACACCAATTCACAAACTAGGTGGCTGGCTATGCAAATGTGTGTATGTTCCATAACATCCTGAGCACACACAGTAAGAACATTGCAAGTGCTAAAGAAGGCGACCTACCTTGTCTCCAGTGGGATGTTACTGTTGAGTAACCAGTTGTCCTGAGCATGGGCTGGCTCTTGAGTAGTGGCTGGTTGTTCTCCAGAGAGAGAGTGGTCCGTAGGAGCTGGGCTCGGGTTGCTGCGTGGAGTGAAGTTCCCTCTGTTCAGGGAATTGATGGAGGCTGCGTGATGCTGATTTGGGGTGTGAGCATGTGATATTGGAGGCGGTGGAGTTCGAAGTCTTGAATGATTTTGAATATTTGGAGGATGATCTAAAATGCAAGCAAAATACTTTTAAGGTTCATGAATTGAGTAGTTTCATACTGGGTTCATTTATGTGCAGACATTTATAAAAAGTATGAAAGCTGGGGTGTCACACATCCTAAATGAACTCATAGCCTTGTTCCACATCTTCTAATGACACAGCATTGATCCCTGAGCCAGCTAGAAAAATAGTTCAGTCTCATGCACAAAAGTTATGAAAGTTTAAAGCACTGCAGAAAGGCTGTCCTGACAGCCAAGTTAACTTCGATGAACAACTGCAGGTTGCAAACTGCAATCTATCTGTGGCACCGATTTGTGATAAAGCATGAAAAATACACCCAGTCTGGACAGATAACATGTTAGAGGCAGTTTATGATGGATATACAGCTCCCAGACAAGTTTGTTCTGCCCATTTTGCCTCAGAACTTTCAATAGTTAAGTCAAGAAGAAGACTAAAAATACATTTAATCATAGATGGGTTTAGCGAAAGCCATAAAAGCACGTCAGGGTTATACAATTTAACAAAATCCAATAGTTTGTACTATTAGAAATGTACTCAAAACTGAGTAAAAAATGCATGTGGCATAAAAGCAGATGTGTCAGGAAAATAAAACAAGAAAAAAGACGTTAAAGATCAGTGATATGGCTACTTTGAGTAAATCTCAGAGCATTTCTTAGCCAAGAGACTGAAGAATGCAGACCGAGGAAGCCAAACACCTAGGAAAGATGAAGAAAGTGCTGATTATATCTGTATTTTTACTTTTTTTTCGCTAACCATAAAGAATTTTTTTCATGTTTTTTTTTGAAATGAAGAAAACCAAAGTATTTGATGGAACTGGAGGGAGACTGACAGTACAGCACACTGCATATGAGAAACAGGACACATATCTCTCTACTGTTAGTGGGCTCGTGCTCAAAAGCCATTAATACTGTGCACTGGAACAGATTGCCCAGAGAGGTTGACGAGTCTCCCTTGTTGGAGATATTTGAGAACTGTCTGGATAGAATTGTATGCATGGGACAACCCTGCTGGAGCAGGAAGTTCGGATCAGATGACCCACTGTGGTTCCTTCCAACCTCACCCACTCTGTGATTTTGAAGCACACAATAATTTTGTGGTGCCTTATCTGAAAAGAATGTCTCTTCTATCAATCTAATATTTACCAGACTTCTGTATCATGAGAAATTAACCCCCATTTATTCTCTAATTAGAGACCTCAGATCTGAACAAACTGTACGTGGTTGTAAATTACAATGAATTGTATCAGACATGTAATGATAGTTTTGAAATTTGGATTAGGACTTGGATTTAGGAGAGGAACAGAAAAAGCATTCACAGTGTCTCTGCAGCTTTTCAGATAGTTAAACACATGAGGTAAAACATGGCAATGTGTGAGAGAGCCATCCTGCCCCTCCTCACCCTGTGTTGACTCACACTACCTCATCATTAACTATGGCTGGTTATACCAGAACCTAATGGTGTTTGAGGTGGTCTAGCAAAAAAAAAGTGCTAATTACAGAGGTGCCATTATCCCCAGAAAGGTCAGATACATACCTACTGGTCTCTCTATTTTATGTCAGTAACACAGAAGCCAACAAGTTCAAAAAGAGATCTATACTAGTCATCTACATTTGGACAGACAGACTTCTCAAGGGAATCTAAGGAACTACTAAAAAATCTAACTTAGCAAGGCTCAATCAAAATTTTAAAAGTCCTATAATGCCAGTAATGCTGGCTTTGACTTGCACATCAGCCAGCAAACGAAAGGGAAGAGCAATGATCATGGACTGTACAGACAAGAAGTATCAGAACTAAACCAGCTTCACCTCAGCTCTGCAGCACCATGTGAATCAAAGTGTCCAACAGTTCTTGGACTGGATATTGCTGGAGACTGTTGCTTAGTTGAAATCTTGACCATCGAAGCAATAAAAACAACAGTGAAGGAATTCTACACCTAGTTTAGTTAAATTAATGACTCTTCTACTTAACAGATAGGAAGAGTGTATTAAATCCAGCTGAGGGAGATGAACACAAATAGAGAGTTTCCAACTTTTAGGGCTGCCACTCTATCACCATTAATAAGAACTTAATTCATCCCAGAGAAAATGACTTGTCTCTTCAGGAGAAACAAGAGGTTTCCAAAACCAGCTATTTAAGTTTTCAGCATAGCTCGTGTCTGAGATGAATACTATGCAATCTACAAAGGGGCTAAATGGGTGGATCTTGGAATAAGTAATAGGCATTCTGCAAAGTTCTCCCACTATTGGTTGACTTTTCCTTCTGGAGGCACCATTTTCACATTGTGAGTCAAAGCCTGTTTTCAAAGATCTGTTATGTAAATTCCAATTTACACCATATTATTACAGACACATTGCAGATGCTATTATGGGTAATGCTTTTGAATCAAGTAAAAATGTGTTATTTTCATACTCTATTTTCATATTCTCCATGATTTCTTTGCTCAGTAAAGACAGCACATCTATCTTACTCTGGTCTATGTGATTTTTCACAGGATTTTATAGCTTGCATTTTGGTTTTTCTAACATTTAAGTAGCTTTTCCTTCCAGAATGTTTTTTATTTCATTCATATACAAATTCTGAACACTTATGTCATGTCTGAGCATTATGGAATTTAATATACCTTGACTAGAATTAGTAATTATTTCCCTTGCCTTATGATACTTTTTTTTTTTTATTGTCTTCTTCTTAAATTAAGGAACATCAGAAATAAGGTATAGACAAAAGCACAAGCCAGGAAATGATCCTACTGAAAACTACGGCAGCTGTGCAGGATTTTCTTGATGCAAAAAAAACCTGTTAAGGTTCTTACCCTCTGCTGTGACCAAGCTCCTATGGGATTTGCAATGGATAATGAAAGGGGAAAAAAATCTTTCTTGATTTTCTAAAATTTCAACTGTCCCCTTTTTTGAGTATGCTTGGGAGAAGCTGCAGATGCCTCACTGCTGGAAGTGTTCAAGGACAGGCTGGATGGGTCTTTGAGCAACTCAGTCTAACAAAAGGTGTTCCTGCCCATGGCAGAGGGTTGGAACTAAAGAGTCTTAAAGGTTCCATCCCAAACCTGTGATTCTATGACTATTAACTAGACCCACAATGTTTGAGTGATATAAACTGTGTGGCTGTATTTCCCCACAGGAAGGAGAACTTAATGCTGGCTGCAATGGCTCTCTTACATCATGTATGTGTGTAGATCTTACACAGTGGGAAGATGCTCAGATCATTTGCTGTCTATTGCACAGAACTGAATTTTTACAGAATTTAATTTTTACAGATCTCACCACATAGGTGGGATACAGGGGAAGTGTGATACAGCTCTCTACATCTATCAGCAAGCCTTTACTGGGACAACAGCAGCACAGGAATTCAGAAGACTTTATAAAGGAGCAGAACACCATGGCCAGTGCACAAATTGTACAAGATTCTCCAAGACCTTTTTTAACCAAGTATAAGACAGCTAAATGTGACTGTCTGTAAGTAATCTTTGTTTACTCCAAAAGAGAGAATTTTCAACATTTTCCTTCTTGCAATTTTCATCTTTGGTTTCTAAAAAGACACAGACTTTATCATTCCCTCTCTGCTTGTTAGAATGAAAAACTTGACATGAGCTACTCAGAGGGATCAGCTGAGCTAACAGAACACCACGGAATCAACAAACACCTTGTAAAGCACCTCTCTCCCACCTATCCAAATTTCTAATAGTCTCAGAGTCAAGCAAAACTGTTTAAGGGTTGATTTGTGCCTTGAAGGGAGAACAGAAGAGACCTGTCAATAGCAAAGGAGTCTTAGACACCAGTCCCAGTCTTAGACACTAGGGGCCAATGAAAGAGCATCCCAGAGATAAAGTTCAACATTTCTAGAAGACAGGCTGCGAACCATGGAAGTCTAAATAGCCAGAACTTAAAGAGCTCCCCATAAGCCTCATTTTCTCTAATGGGTAACCACACTGTATCTAACATATCTGTATTCAAATGTAAAGAAACTTTGGAAATCTGAATGCAAAAAACAGATTGAAATATGCTTTTATGTTGAGTTTTTTTGTGGCTTTTTTTTTTTAACTTGTTTTCTAACATTAAAATGTCATTGAGAAACACTGGCTTGGTAATCACAGATAAAGCAGAGCTTAAAGATAATACAGTTAATGAAGCTTGTACTTGGTACATGCTAGAGAACCTTGACAGAAAGCTGTGAATGAAGAGCTGAATAAATGTGAATCATAAAAAATCACCAGTGAGGACCTACTATGACAAAATTCAATAAAAGGTCTGAACCTCATGTTCCTTATCTCTCCCTTAACCTTTAATGAGTAGTACTGTTTTGAAATTAGTCTATGTAACAATTACACTTTCTGATTCATTAGGTTTCGGGATTGTGTTCAGAGCAAATGTGCTAACCTCTGAGTGAAAAATACATTCTCATATTTTCCCCAGCTTATTCTGTTCTTCCACACATTTGTCATTTGTACGTCTGCTCACATTCAGACAGACTGATGCCTAACTGGTGTCTGGATTAGGTACAGGAAATATTTCTCTTTACTCACTGTATATATTGCCAGGTGGAATGAATCACTCTGTGCTCTCTTGAACCTCAGCTCCACAGTAGCTGTGATGATGAACTTGCTAGTGTGACATTGGACAATAGTGCTTGTGCCCACTCACAAGGATAAACACCCACAGCCCCCATCCTGCCACCTCTTGCAGAAGAAACTATTTTGTTTTTGAACAACATACTCTGCATTCAATTGACAGCACAGCAAAGAGCTGTGCTTCAGCTACAGGACCCACTTCAGTCTGCTGCAGATGTACAGTCACAGCACTTGCACCAGCCAGCTGAAATCACCTTCACAGGGCTCCCTGTCCTGTTGGGTGCCACTGGGTATGGGAACTGCGGGGTTTCTCTCATGAATCTGATGAGACACTTAAGGTCAGGTGGACTAGGAAAAACTGAACTGAGTCTTTTGTATCACCTTTGTAGGAGACACAGGGAATTTAC